GAATAGTGTATATATAGCCAAATGCTCCAAGTCTAGCTTTGTTTAAAGAATTAGGTCCCGGGAGTTAACGCTCGGTCCATGTACAGTATCAACAAAACGGTCCAAGCATAAATAACAGTTTATATTATTTTACTCGTCATTTTTTCATTACAGAACTTAACACCTGATACAGGAGAGAACAATAATAACGTAGAAGACGAAACCATGAGAGACAGGTCAGATAAGAAAAGCACAAATGAAAATGAAAATCAACCCGTCGAAGAAACCGTGCCAGACTCTGCTTCCAGGAAAAATGACGACGAGACTGAAACGACGATTAATATCCGGCTTCCTCCGAACATTACCGAGGAAAGTTCAGACATAAACAATTTGAGTTCTCCAACTAAAACACACAATGTTTCACTTTTAAAAAAAGATTCTTATTGTCTTACGAATTGGAAGTACGGGGATAACATAAATAAGACCATCAATAAGACGCAAGTACCGTATCCACCAGACTGGGAAGCGATAGACAGTTTCACAACGGCAGGAACAATGAAAAGAGAGACAGATACGGCCAGCTATAGGTATCGGAAAAACAGGAGAAACATGGTGTTCTTCATGGTTGGATTATTTGTAGTGGTGGCGATAGTAGCTTGTGCTATTGGAGTTGTTTTAGAATTTAAACGTAAGTAGGAAAAACTGTGGTCAAAGAGGGCGCCCTTGGATTAAATTCAATAGAAGAGTTGTGAGGCGACCATATGTACGATAATGTCAAAGAGGAGTTAAATCATTCACACGCATTTTTGCTTTTCTCAATCAGATGTGTGTGAAATTTCTTTTTATAAACATTGGTTTTTTACTATAGTATTTTCGGTGGAATTTGTTATATTTTCAAAACTTTCTCTGTGCAGTCTGTTGTCGAAATCCATCTAATTGGCTACCTCTCACTACATCACATTTTGGAATCGACATTAACCTGCGCTTAGTAGCTTTTTGACATACAGTGGCCCCTCGCTAAGTCGCGGGTGTTGGGATCCAAGCAAAAACCGTGACTTATCGAGGGCCGCGACTTACCGAGGGACATCGTGAAAGAGGGAGGTCGTGCATTGAAAAACATATAAAAAGCACATATAAACCCTCGGTTTAGTTAATTGATGTATCATCACATGTGTCAGGCAGTATTCGAATAAAATCATGATTATGTTTGCTGTAAACATTGCGTTGATTATTTTGTTTGTGTCTGATATTATGTGGGCCGCTTGCTGTTGCTTGCGACTTCTACGGTAACAGCTTCCAAAATAAACCAGTTTCATCGCAATTATAATCATGTTCGTCAAAATAACCACCTTCATAGATAATTTCTCTCAGTTTTTCGGGAAAAGTTCTGACAGCGTCAAAACAACAATAGAAATTTTGGGAGCCATCCAAGTACCCGCGACTTAGCCGAATCGCGACTTACCGAGGCGCGACTTAGCGAGGGGCCACTGTATTTACAAAAAATAATTTTCTTGTTTTAAATCTAGTTGGCAGAAATAACTATAACAACAACACCAATGAAAAAACAACGGAAAATAATAACCATAATAAAGACAACTCAGATGGGAATACTTTTCAAGGTATGACAAGATTTTACTCACCTTCGAGATGCACACCCATTCATGTACAAGTTACGAACACTCCCATCGTCTACATCCTTTAATGGATGCAACGGTTACTATTGAGTTCATGAACACGGTCACTATGCAACCGTTGTTCTGCCTACGATGGCTATGTACTGTAGTAAATGACTCGTATGTGACGTCAATCACCAATAATTTAGTGAATGAATGAATAAATAAATAAAATACATATTGGGCAATCATATTACAGAATAATTAACATATAAGATGAATACAATTATTTCAATGAAATAAATTTCACAACGAGAAGAGTAAAATG